TGAATATTTTTGAATATCCATGAATATTATTGAATATCTATGAATATTAGTGAATATCCATGAATATTATTGAATACTCACATGAAATGGTATAATATACATTTATAAGAGACAATTTATTTCTGGACAAAAGTTAACAAATAGTTTTAAGCGGTCACAGCAAACGTAATGTTTGGGAGTCCATAGACAATTTGCCATCAGAGCGCAGTGGGTTGCTGACAGTTTTGTAATACTTTGCAAGGGGGTAAAAGCCTTTAATGTTGTAGGACTTGGTCATTTCTCCCATCTCCCCAAGCTCGTACCAATTGCAAAGCACTCCAACTTTTTTGCCCTTTTCTTCTTTGGTGGGAGCTGAATCCTTCTTGTAAGTCTTAACTTTGCCAAAAAGGTAAGAAAACATCAAGACTCGACCGATCAAAACGTTTTCATCGGATGATGGGTCATGAAATGCGCACCAATCTGTTAGAGAGACCTGCTGCGCCTCGAAAGGTTCCTTCCACGGGTGAACCCAGTTAGTAGCAGATACACCTGTAAATAAAAAAAAAAAGTTTAAATGAATATTTGATCACATTTTCGAAGGTCACGGCCTCTGGGCTTCACCAACAATACCTTTTTTCTCATCAGATTTGCTTCTGAATCTGATACTGCGGTCATTACTTAGTTTGCCTCGCTGGCACAACATCCAGGTGAATGCTGTCTTTTTCACTATAGATTCTTTCCCATAGAAGTCCTTCACGCTCACATATGGGCTATCGTATGTAAGGTGAACGTCCGGAAAAGTCTTAAGGGCCACATTGCCGGAAAAAATCGACTACAAATGAAACACACAGGACATTATCACCACAATAATTATAGTAAATTTTATGAGTTTAATTAATCCGTGTTAATCGTACTTCCGTAGTAGAGGGCTCAGGTCGTGCTTCTCTGTTTAGAGCCCTTAGTAATGAGCGGGTCTGTGTGGACTAAAAACAAATAAGCGCATACTGATAGGAGGTACCGAATTGTGTTACAGCTGTTTATCCATGGGAGGGTGAGAGTAGTGCACCAATCATCAACTTCGCCCCTGGTGGACAGAAGTTCACTTATAAGAAATG